CTAAATATTTTTTTCTTTGAATTTCTTAATTATTAATTTCTTTTAAATTTTTAAGTGTCCTCAAAAATAAAAAATCATATAATTCTTGTAAATCATTACTAATATTTTAATTAAAAATATTAAATTTACATTATATATAAGATAAATTGTTTGAAAATTTGACTAAATTGAAAATACTTTCGAAATTTTTAATTTAATTAAAAGAAATATATAAATATTATAAGTTCGGTAACATAGAGAAATTTGAAGTTTTTTAAATTTTATTCTAATTTAAATTTAATAATTCTAAACAAGGTAAATACTAAAGATTAGAAATATCACAAATTTAATTAGAATTTAAATAAAGTTCAATAAGAAAAATATGAGAAAAATTAGAAGGAATTTCATTAATTTAATTTTAATAAAGAATAAGTTTTCGCAACAAAACATTATTTTCTAATCCTTAAAAATTCTTTAAACTATTTCTTCCTAAATCTAATTCTTCCAACATTAGATTTTCTTTAAGTGAATTACCTATATTTTCAATTTAATTATTAAAAAGATAAAGTTTTCTCAATTATTTATTATCATTTAAATTTTCAATAATTTTAATTTAGTTCTAACTTAAGATTAAGACTTCTAAAAATAGACAATTATTTAATTTTTATATTTTATTTATTTTATTTAGTTCTAAATTCAAATATCTTAATTATTTTAAATTATTTATTTAAGAATAATCGCATATTTAATTTTAAGATAAATTCAACTCGACTATTTTTTAATTTTAATTAATATTCAATTTACTTATGCTGTTTACTGATAAACAAACAATTTCCAACTATTATAGTTTCTCTAATCCTTCCATATCAATCAGATTTTCGAGTTTTAATTCTAGTTTTTTTTATTTTTGGAAATTTTGGGATATATCAAATTATAAAAATTCATTTAAAGATTTTTTTCTTAAATTGTTTACATTGTGTTCTTCATTTTTTTTATCATTTTTTTCATCTTCATTCTCTTAATAATAAAGAGTTAATTCTTCATCGAAAAAATGAAGTAATTTTGGTTTATATTAACTATATATGATTTAAAGTTATTTAAAAATGTTATTTTCTTTATATTTATTTAATATGTTTTATTGATATTTTTGCATTCTATTATTTAAAAAGGAAACTAAATCATTAAACTAATATAAATTTTGACTATTTTATTTATTATTTATAGTAAAATTATTATTATTTATTTAAGATTTATAAAATTATAATGGAATTAGTTTATTTTCTATTTATTAATATTAACACAGTGAATTTTTCATATTATTATTTCCTATAAGAAAACTTTATTTTTTCTTTATTTCTTAAAAACAAAGCTATAGTTCAATTTATTCAGTATTTTAATCATTCAAAAGTGCTGGTTCTTCAAAATCAAGTTTTATTTAATCAAAAAAAGTATTAATTTGTTCAAAAAAATTATTATCTTCTTATGCTTTTTATTCATTTAATAAGGGAAATTATGAAGTTAATTAATAATCTTTTTAAGAAAAAAGTTTTTTTTGCAAAAAATCTTCATATTCTTAAGCTAATATATCTTCATTTTCCATATCAAAGCATTCTTTTTCTTCTTTAATTTTTTCTTGTTTTTTTTATAGTTAGGTTTCTAATTACTTTTTAATTAAATTCGAAGAAATTACTGAACTTTTTAATTCTATTTAACCACTCATAAACATTTAATAACTACTTTTTTTCTTTTTTATATTTAAATTTTCTTCTTTTATTTATTCTTCTTTTTATTTATTTTTTTATTCTTTTTTTAATTATTTTAACTATTTTTTTTATAATTTAATTTATATTTATTCTTCTTCTTTTTTTTCTTATTATTCTTGTTCTTCTTCTTGTTCTTCTTCTAAATCTTCTTCTTATTCTTCTTCTAACTCTCGCTCTTTTTCTATTTCTTCTGACTAAATACTTTACTAATCGCTTAAAAATCCTTCTTATTCTTTAAATTATCTTTCGATTTCTTATTCAGCAAAAACAAAACATTTAGCTTTTTCTTAAACTTCTTTTTATGCATTTTCTTTAATTAATCTAAATTAAGATTCTGTAATAACATCTGGTTTATAAAAGTATTTTTATCCAAAATCATCTTCTAATTCAATAACACTTTCATCATTTTCTTCATCTTTTAAATTATTTATTTCTTCATCTTTCTTAACTTTTACTTTTGTCATTTTTTTTAATGTTTAAAGATCTTTATCAATTTCTTAAAAAATTTAATCAGCTTCTTAATTCGCCCTTTAATATTCTTTAAATATTTTGCTATTTTTTTATAATCCTTCGAATTCTTTTTTATCTTATTCTATTTATGCTAACTATCTTTATATATATTAATCAAAATATACTGATTCTCTGTTACCGTTTGCACTTATAAACGATTCATTTTCATTATATTAATAGTTTTGTAAATCGTTCATTATTTTTTTCTCTAATTCTTCATCATTCATACTTGATTTAAAATTTTAGTTTTCAAATATATCCATTTTATTATTATTTTTTTCTTTCCAATTACTTATTTTTAAATTAAAGTTTTTATATTTTAATTTTTTATTATTAAATAAATTTATTATTTTTAAAATTAAGCTTTGTTTTCAAAAATAATTTGTTTCTTGCTAATATTAATATTTATAATAAGTTTATATTATAAATTTAAATAATATATTTTAATATAAATAGAAAATAATATATTTTTAATATAAATTGAAAATATTATAATTAAAATTCTAATGTAAAAAATATATATTTTAATAATTATTATTATCGAAAAGTAATTGAAAAATTAAAAAATTAAAATAATATGTATTTTTATAATAAATGTTAATAAAATATAATATATTTAAAAATAAATATTAAATATATCTATATTGAAAAAATTTATACTATTATGTGATATATAATATTTGTTATATAATTTGTATATTTTTTTTTGCGAATTTTACTTTATCATATATATTTATTACTTACGTTATAATTTTATTTATTTATATATTTTTTTATATTTTATTTTAATTTTTAATATTGATTTTCTTTAGCTATTTTTCACTTCTTTACTTCAATTTAAATTTTCCATATCCAAAGCTTTTATAAAAAATTTATGGGATTTTTAATAGAAATTTATTAAATTTATTCGATAGTATTAATATTATTTTTTTATTTTGATCATTCTTTTTATATTTTTCTTTATTTATTTAAAAAAATGTATATTCACAAGCATCCCACATACTTGTATAAGGAGCAGGGTAAAATATATTTACTTACTATAGAACTTCTTTTATTTATTTTGATTTATGAATAATTGCATTGTCTGTAAAATACGTAAAATTTTATATTATTATTAATTTCAACGCGATAGTTAATTAAAGATATTAAAAAATAAGCAAAGTCTTTCGATTTAACTCCTCCTTTAAAAAATTAAAAGCCTTATTAATGTTACATTGTTTTATTTTTATCGTTTTTTTGCTGATAATTTTATATTATTTTTTTGATAACCTTTTTATAAAAACGTTCTATTTGTTATAATAGTTTCATCAATAAATATTATTTAATATTATTATTATATTATATAAGTAAAAGATAATGCTTTTTCCAATCTGTATTATTTATTTGAATTTTTAAATACATAGCTTATTTTTTTATATAAAATATCTAAAGAATTTAATATGCTTTTAATAAAATCATTACTTGGATTTTTTTTAAATTAAAATGTATTTTAATAGCTTCTTTCATTATTTTATATGAAATAAAATTCCATTATTTTCACTAATCAATAATTAAATATATTATATTATTTAAGGAGTAATTATTGATTTCCTACCTCTTCATATTCATTTAAATAATTTTAATTGACCAAAGAAATAATTTATTATCTCTTCATATCATCACACAGAAATTATTATTTATTTTAAATTTTCTTTTTTTAATATGATCTTAACAATTAATATTTAAAATATTTTTACTTCGTTGACAAATAATTTTTCAAATTTTATTTTTTCTCGAGCTTGTAATTATACTTATTAAATTTACCTTTATCTAAAAGAGTAATCATTTGCAATTTCAATTAAATTATTTTTTAGTTTATTCCTTAAAAAAATAGTGCATACAGTTGGTTGTTGTTTATATGGACAAAAATTAATAGTTTTATTATTGATTAAAAAATTAATTATTATCTTAGTTAATATTTGCTTAGTTTTTTCTTTTTATTTTTTTTTCATATTAATGTTATTTATACATTATTAAATATATATTTTTTCTTACTTAGAAAAATTTTAAAAATAATATAATTTCTTAATTAGAATTTATTTTTTTATGAAAAAATATAGAGACTAAATTACATATAATTAATATGTAATCTATGGCAATAAAAATAATTTTTTCTTTTATAAATATATATATATATATATATATATATATATTTAAATTTTATTAATTTTTTATTTTTAATATAATTATTTAATGTATTAATTTTTAAAATTTATATTCTTAATATTAATCAATTCTTTTTTAATAAAATTAGCAATAAAGAAATACTAAATTTATAAAATAGAAAAAAATATCAGTGATATAAGATTGATTTTTGTTTTATATATTTTTAATAACAAAAAATTTATTATAATTAATAAATCTATATTTTTTTAATATTATTAAGGTATTATAGCTATTCTTTAATCTATTGTTATATTTTATTTTACTTCATTATTTTCACATATCATTTATGATTCACTCTTTACTTTAATTTACTAAAATATAGTTATAAATAATAGAATAGGATCAACATATTTATAAACATTAAATATATTTTACATAGAATTAATAAATATTATATATTTATTTTTAAAAAAACCTCAAAAATATTAATTTGTGCTAAATATAAAATTTATATCTTTCTTTTACAAGAAATGTTTTCAAAAAATACATTTATAATATCAAATAACTTATAATTAATTAAAAAATTATTAAATAAATAAACATAAAAAAATGGATAAAAATAAAGGATTTTTAGTAGAATAGAATATTTAAATTGGTTTAACTTTCAACGATGTGTTAATGGTTCCTTAATTTAGTGATATAAAAACTAGAAACGAATGTGTATTAAAGTCCAGATTCTCACGTAATGTCCCTTTAAACATACCTATAGTAAGTTCTCCAATGGACACTGTGACAGAATTCAAGATGGCTAAAGAAATGGCAAGAAATGGAGGATTGGGAATTATTCACAGATTCATGAGTATAGAAGAACAAGCTTAATAGGTTGAAAAAGTGAAAAGAGCACAAGCTCACATATTATTTAGTCCTATAATAGTATCAAAGGAAACAAACTTTAAAGAATTGAAAATATTACAAGAATAATATTCATTTATGACATTTTTAGTAAGCGATATTGATGCAGATGTATTTTCAATTGTTGATAAAATGAAATCTCCTTCCAAAAAAAATAAAAGCTAAGAAATAAAAAATTAATTAGCGGGAATCATTACTAAAAGAGATATTAGAAATATGAAATCAGATACTGATAAAGTAAAAGACTACATGACTAAGAGAGATAAAGTTATTGCTGTAGAGATGTCTTAGGATGATGAAATGCATTGGCCTAATGCTAATCATTTTAAATAATTAATGTTTTCTAATAGAGTTGAAAAAATCCCTATTATTAATAATAAAAATGAAATTTTAGGATTAGTTACTTTAAAAGTAATATTTTTAATTTAATTTTATTTTATTTTAAAAAAGGATATTAATAGATTAGATACTTCTCCTGTAGCTAATAGAGATTAGGAAGGTAAATTATATGTAGGGGCAGCTGTAGGAGCAAAAGATGACCATATGGAACGTGCTAAAGCTTTAATTGATGCCGGAGTTGATGTTTTGGTTGTTGATGTAGCCAATGGACATTCGTAATTATGTATTGATGTCGTAAAATAATTAAAAGAAGCTTACAATGTTGATATAGTAGCAGGTTCTATTGCAACAGGTGAAGGTGCTGAACATTTAATAAAAGCCGGAGCTGATGGTATCCGTTGTGGAATAGGAAATGGTAGTATATGTATTACTAGAATAGTTTCAGGATGTGGAGTTCCATAAGTAAGAAAAAAAAATTATAAATATTAATAAAAAAAAATTAGTTTTCAGCATTATGTGATGTTGCTCCAGTTTGTTAGAAATATGATATTCCTTTAATATCTGATGGAGGCAATAAATATGCAGGAAATATGTGCAAAGCATTAGCCGTAGGTGCTGATTGTGTGATGTTGGGAAGATTAGTAGGCGGTTGTGAAGAATCACCTTCATAAATGATTTATAAAGAAGGAAAATTACAAAAAGTCTTTAGAGGAATGGCTGGATATGGTGCTAATTTAGCCAAAGCATAAAGATTAGGGGCTTAAGAGCCTAATAGTTACAAATTTAACCCTGAAGGAGTTGAAGGATATATTCCTTTCGCAGGACCATTAGAAGGAGTACTTAATTAATTCACTGGTGGTATTAGAAGTGGAATGAGTTATAATGGGGCTAGAAGTATTAAAGAATTATAATAAAAAGTTAAGTTTATTAGAATTACTTAGTCTGGTTTTCTTGAATCCGGAGTTCATTCTATTAAGGAATTTTGATAGTTTATTTTTATATCTTATGTGTGCTTGTTTTTTTTTATTAAAAATTGATTTTTTATTATATTTTAATATTTTTTTTAAAAAAAATATTAAAATTATAAATTTAATTTAATGGTGAATTAATAAATTAAATAAAAGTATATAAATGATAATTTAATTTAATATTTTTTTATTATAATAACCACCAAAAAAAAAGCTGATTATTTGTTTATCTCGCATTTTTTTTTTCATTAAGCAAAAAAAAGAGTTTGAAAAAAATTACAGAAAAAATAAAAAAATTTAAATAAATGTTATATATAGAAAATAAAATAAATTAAAAATTTCTTGGTAAATAATATATATTTAATGAAAAAAGTTAATTATTGTATTAATAAACAACTAGGGTTTAGCAATTTATTCAAAAACAAGCCTTTTATTTTAATAGACCAATAAAATTATAAATTTAATACAAATACTTGTGTAAAATAAAAGAAATCAAGCTAAAACTTTATTGAAGAAAAAGTTTACCTAAAAATGTAATTCCAAAAATTTAATTTTCATATAAAATATATTAGAAAATTTCTAATTTATTAAAAATATATTTAAAGTAAAAAAAAGAATTCAAAGAAATATAAAATTAAGTAAAATCATAATAATTTTCTAAAATATTTGTATTTATATATTGTAATAAAATAATTATTAATTTCTTTTATATCTATAATAGAATTATATTATTTCAAAATAACATAAATAAAAAGATTTTAAATATCATAATAAATTTATTTTTTATATAGTTTTAAATAGAGAATAATAAATAAATATTTATAAAAAAGTATACATTTATAAAATATATGTAACTTTTCTGATATATAATTGTATAGAAGATATATAATCTGATTTAATCAGTTATAATATGTTTTTATTTTGAAGATTTTTGTAAAAAAAATTATTTCTTAATAGTAACATATTATAATTTTTATAAGTAATTAAAAGATAGTTTTCAAATTAGATCAGATTAAATAATTAATAACTATATAAAATATCTTATGATGCAAATTTTAAAAAAAAAAATAATAAAAAAAAATATAAGATATAAAAAAATATAAATATAATAAAAATATATATGTAAATATAAAAATAACTGAATAATATATTAAAATATATATATATAAATAAGAAAAAATAAAAAATAAAAAATAAATTAAAAATTATATAAATATAAATGTTTATACATATAAAATTAAAAAATATATATATTATATATCTCTAAATTTATTAGTATCACAATTTTCGAATAGTTTATGTATAAAAATAGATTAATA